AGGTTGGACATTAGGAAAAAGTTCCTAACTGTCAGGGTGGTTAAACACTGGAATAAACTGCGTAGGGAGGTTGTGGAATCTCCATCTCTGGAGATATTTAAGAGTAGGTTAGATAAATGTCTATCAGGGATGGTGTGGACAGTATTTGGTCCTGCCATGAGGGCAGGGGACTGGACTCGATGACCTCTCGAGGTCCCTTCCAGCCCTAGAATCTATGACTATGAATAAATGCCAGCTTATAACTTCACTTTGGAATGAAGCATGAGAAACTGGATTGTGATAGAGAATGCTTATTCTAACGCATGTCTCTTTTAGTAAGAGAAATGTAGCATGTGCAGTGACAAAAAAAATAATATTCAGTTTGTTTTATTTACATATAGATATAGTGCTCTATTTTAAAATCTCACTTAAAAATACTGTATAGGACAGTTGCTTTTTTAAGCAGAAAGAATATATAGGAACCCATCAAATGTTCATTTAGCCAGTTAGTCTATTAAAGTCCTTCTATTCTTTAACTCTTCCAGGCTCTTCAGAGAGAATTCTGTCTGGTAGCAGTGAGGAGGAATTTGAGGCAAGTTTGAAGAAGTGGAATCTCATGAATAAGCCCCAAGCAGAATTACTCAAACCCGAGGTATTTAACAAATATATTGTTTAGGAGTAAATTCTTCTTTAAGCTCCACCATATCAGAGATGGTCTACACGATTGATCTCACTATGGTTGCAAGAGAACAACTCAGGGCAGAATTTGGCTCTAGGTGAATTTATTTGTACATATGTGTGTGTTTGGTGGGTTAGTTTTGAGATTCAAACACACATGGACTAAAATCACAAACTGGGACTCATATTTTACACAGGTACTTCCAGGAGAATTGTCACCAATTATGGAGTCTTTACTGCCACAAAAAACTCTGGAAATCAGGTAAGACCCTAGTTTTGTAAATTTTCCCGGGTCTAAATAACGTATTCAGATATTTACATTTAATCTTGCCTATTCGTACAAAGCTAACAATATGTGGTCAGATGAGGATGCACTGCTTGTTGTATATGCTTATAGTGCTGACTTAGCAATGTAATTGATTAAGATGTGTACTTAGCACATAACACTTATAACAAGCTATATTATTCTGATTAACAGTGGAAGCAGTCCAGTTCCTTCAAATAACTTTATTTCTCCACATGAGGAATCTTTGGGAACCAAAAGTAGGTAAGAACAATATTACTTGAGACACTTATCACCAAGATTAACTGAAATCTACAGAACACTTAGTTCATCAGTAATCTACAGGTGACTTTGTCAGTTTTTGCAGTTTTGGTGGTTTTAAAGATTTCTATCAATTGCAGATTATTCCCAGAGTGGTATCACACCATTTCTGTATCATCTTGAGAATGTATATGATTCCACAGACATTATTTTGCATTAATTGTTGTTGTTGTTGTTGTTTTAATTTTCCAATATCATTATTTTATACTTTCTAGGGTTCCACAGAAAAAAATGTCAAGTAGTCTAGAGGACTTGCAGAGTGAATCCCTGGAAAAGGTTGGTTCCTAAGTATTTACAACTTTTAGCATTTAATTTGAAATCTGAAGACATTAATGCCAATTTATATAATATATATCCTGTCTGTTTACATATGCTAAACATAACCAACAACAATACTGTATGTAAAAAAGGCTTATGATACTGTAGTTCAAACCTTCTCTCTCCCACCCCCATGTCTGAACTTAGTATGAACCAAGTATTTGCCTTGTCCACACAAACACATCCTAATATTCAGCTTTTCAGCTAAACAAGGGAAAATGCGTTGACGTGAAGTATCTCCAGTGTATAAATGGTAATGGGAATTAATATCCTTTTGAATTGCACATCTCAATATGCCTTTAAGTTTCAGGACACATGATCACAAGAGTTGTGCAGTGGGCTACTCAGGACACATGATCACAAGAGTTGTGCAGTGGGCTACTCTACAAATAAACAATATACTTTTTTTTCATATTTTTCTTTTTAAAGGTAGATGTTTTTATTCAGAGTCGGACCTTTTCAGGCCTCACCATTAACTGAATTCATAAAATAGCTCGATTTTTGTAGTATATTCTTCAGATTCAGCATCTGACACCGTGAGCATATTGATTCTTCTTTCCTATTAAATGTACAGCAGGAAGCTTTTAGCAGGTCCTGATTGACAACCATTAGCCAGTTCTGTTTTATGACATTATACAGTATTATTCACTGTGTAATTTCACCTTATCAGCAAATTGTAATGCTTTTGCTCAGGCTAAAATGGATTTAATCATGAACACAATTAACATACACTTGTTTTATGTATTTTAAAATAACTTTAAGTCCTATGAGTTGCAAGGACTTTAATGGTAACAAACCTTTTAAACTATTAATTAGATCACAATTTAAAAACAAATTGCTAAATATTGCGGCTGTGGTATTATTTCTGCCCAGGATTGTGGTTTGATTCTTTGCTTGTAAATATGTTTGTTACTTCCCAAGCTAGACTTCTGATACAAGTGGTATTATTGAAGCTGGTGTTGCTGTTACATTATTTAAACAGGGGGAGCAGTGTTGTTAATGTCAAGGCTAAATGCATTTCAGGTTGTCTTATTTTTCACTATTTCAACACGATCAAATGGATCATATTTTTACTCGCTAAATTTAGGTTTTCTCCCACTGCCACTTTAATTTTGCCTGAGTTTTGTTGCTTTTTTTTGTATGACACACTTACTAGGTTTGTGTAATAGTACTTATCCATGCACATTGATACATCATTTTAAAATTGAATTAATGTAACCATATCCAGTAAAAATATGGTTAATTTCTTCTAGATTTTCCTAAAACCTTTTCTGTGATCTTTTGATTTGTTAATATAACTGTAACCTAACAAAACTTGTTTTAAACTTATTTTGCACTCATTTTATTGTAGTAATACATATGGTAAATGAATCAAGGACTAACGTTTTTAGTTCCTTGTAGAATTTAAAGGTCTATTTTCTCCTTGATGTGCTCATGAATATGCTATTAATTTTAAAAGGCTATACAGGATGCATATGCAAAGGTAGGTGTGCAGGTATTCTAATTTGGGCTCTGAGCTACTCAGATCTGACAACCTAAGCAATGTAGGGCTTGATCAGTATTTGGAGGAGAAACCAACAAGATGACACAGAAAATAGCATTAGTGAGTTTAGGCCCGAGACCAACAAAGCATGGAAACATATGCTTAAATTTAAGCATATGACTAGTTCAGAGGAAATCAGTGGGACCTATGTGTTTAAGTGCTATGCTGAATATGGATGGGATTCTTCATGTGTTTAAAATTAAGTACATGTTACTTGCTTTGCTGAGTCAAGGCCTTAATAGTTGGTACTCTACCATTGAGGCTGTAATAGACCAATGGTAGAGGTACTGTATTGCTGAAGGTATAATATTTTACATGGGGTCTAAGACTTAGGTCCTTTTTACTTGCAACAATTAAAGATCCCAAAACATTTCTTTTTTAAAATAGAAGTTAGCCTTGTTGACCCTGCCAAAGTACTGTTTGCATAATTACGTTCCTACCTAAATTCTTCATACAGCTTCAATTAAATAAGATATTCTTCATTTCCTATCCTAGATCATTATATATTATTGTATTGTTGTGTTCTGTTAAACAGCTGACATATCTAACACCAGAGGAAGCAATAAATAAGTTTTGGATGAAGTAATTCTTAATCTTTAGGTCGAATCCTGCTCCTGTGGAAGTTGAAAGCAAAAAATCCCATTGATGGCAACAGAATCTAGATGGGGGTCATTTTGGTAAAGTGGTTGGGGAAAGACAGATGAGCTATTCATTATTGAATGAGGAGAGAATAGACCTCTTAATATCTTCAAATAGAATCGCTGTCTAGAAATCAAACTAAAACTGTTCTTTTGTGTTGTATGTATGTTTATACTAACATTTGTCTGTTACTTTTTTCCAACAAATTTTGAAATTACCCTCCCTGCAACTCCGTAGCATGTAGACGGGAAACCAGTAGAACCTGTTGTAGAACAAGAGGTATATTGACTGTATCTTAACTCCTTTAACATTTGCCTTCTGTGATTGTGCATTGATGGAGTGGCTACTTTTTCACTTCTCATTCAGTGTCTCTTAAATTGTTTTTGTATTGTTAAAGTACCGACATTTTAAAAATGTGTGGGTCGGGCTCGGGAGGAAAAACTCTACAGTCTAATGAGGAAAATAAAATCAGTTCTTTAATCACTCTTTAGTCCATCAGAAAAGGCATAACAAGATCTAGTGGTTTAAAGCTGAAGCTAGACAAATTCAGAAAAGAATTACAGTGCAGTTTTATAACACCTAGGGTAATTTATCATTGGAACAATTTACCTAGACATGTGATGGATTCTCCATTGCTTGCTGTCTTTAAGTCAAGAATGGATGTCTGTCTAAAAGAGCTGCTATAGCCAGCTTGAACAGGAGTTTTCATTTTGATCCAGAAATTGTTGATTAGGTTATTTGTCCTGTGTTATGATGGAGGTCAGATTGTCATCATCTAATGTTCTATTCTAGACAAACCAGATCCAACTCTTGTTGAAATCTATGGTAAAAATTGCATTGATTTCAATGTGAGTTGAATAAGACCCTCTGAGTAGAAAATATGACACACAGCAATAGTTTGGATCCTCACTTTTATCCTTTTATCCTCACTAGTTTGAGGGATGGGGAAGGATTTAAAACTTAGCAGCAAAACATGAAAATAATACTTATGTACAAAGTTACATAAAATTATTGCATATGAAATATAATAGCTGTGTAAAGTAAATTACACATTACTCTTGGGGTACAATTGTACATTTCCCATGTATATTTTAGAAGCCATGGTTTCTATTGTATTTCTCCTGGAGCATGCATAGTAAACGTAGGGCTAGTACATGAGGTTACATGATGTATTTCTGTGGGCTAAATATGTTTTGCATTCTTTATCCTCATGCATTCCTTTCCTTTCATGTACTCTCAGATAATGCCAAAATAAACATTTAGCAGTAAGGCCCTGATCCAAAGAACACCCACAGCTCCCATTGTCTTCAGTAAAAGTCAAAGGGTGCTTAGCACTTCTCCAGTGAGGGTAATTTATCCTATTGGTATTTCTAAATTTCTCCCACTTCTGGAATGTGCACCAAGTCCTAAATGATGGCCTCTCATTCTTTCATTTGGAAGAAACCCTGAACAAATAGGGATACCAATATTCTACTGAGAAATAACACTTTTATCTGGACAACTTTTCAAAGCTGGGAACAGCAAGTACACCTGTGAAACCCACACTTCAGCTTAAAAATAGTCTCACTAGACTCTTAACAGTGAGATATGTATGCGCAAATACAGGTTTTTGCAGGCACATATGCAGTTTTTTTAATGCATCCATCATGCCTATTTAGAGAACTTGGCCCACCAGAATAGGTGACCTTACCAAGGTTTACTGTAACAAAATTCAGTGTTTTCCTCTACTTAGCTTAGCCTATACAACAGAAAGGTGAATGGTTGCTTTGTACCGCTCACTTTCAGTACAGTATATCGAATGTTGATGTTTTGAGGGCTTCATGCTGTGAACACTTACTACTAGGCATAGGCCCTACCACAATGAATAGTACTATTGACTTCAATGACATTATGTAGAGTGCTAAGCACTGTGGCTGGGTGTGAGTGTAGACTGGGACCTGCTATAGTATGAGACAGGCAAAAACTGTGTGGAATAGTTAGTGGAGTTCATGTAACCACTCTAAACAGAAATGACTCTTAAAATATAAGTTAGTCCATGCTTTTCCCTCTAAAAGTTATGTTAAAACTATTAGTAATTTAAAAAAAAAGTTAGTGCAAACTACATTAAATATATGAAAATTATCTTAACTATATTTAGTTATTTAGTAAATTTTTTTAGCCTAACTTTGGTTTTCGTAAAAATGTGTCTATTTAATATTCTTCTTGTTTTGCATCAGTATTTATACCTTGCTACTAGAGATGGGTGATTACATTTGGCCTAAGTTTGATTGAAACTCAAATGCTTCTGGGTTCACATTCACTAAGGTACAACTCTGTGTGGTAGTAAGGGTGCAGGTCGGAGGGAGCATATAGAAAAAAAAGAGGGGGGAAATAACACTGGAAAAACATAGTGAAATATGGACCAGAGAGTATGTAGTGAAACTGTGGAGTGGGAAAGGAGGAAAAGAAGGGCAAAGAAAGAAATTCTAATGACAGAATAAATACAATGTATTTAACAATACACTTTAACATAGTAGATAGGTACCCACTGTGTTACCATAGCTTTGGAGGGTGGGTGGGGGGTGTTATATCCTTTATAAAAATTACAAATTTCCTTTTAGCTAGAAAAACATGTTGTTGTTGTGTTTAAATTAAATCACCCTTAGGAGAAAACCATGGTTTTAAAAAATATTTGCAACCTTCACATAGCTTTGCTTGTCCCTTGAATGAATACAGTGCCTTTTTTTTTTACAAATATCATACAAATAATTTGTATTTTTTAAAAAAAATACAGAATAAACCATATGTGAAGAGTAACAAATATCAGACCTTGCCAGGGAAGCTTCTTCGACCCACACACAACGGAGATCACGGAACATACAATACTCCCACTTCCCTAAATGTATTTGGAATGAATGACAATGAGGACAACAGTGTACTAAGCCTGAGTATGTATTTCTACTTCCCTGCAAGTGTTTTAATAATTGTGTATAAATATAAACAAATTCCTTTGTGAGATCCAGCTGACATAGCAAATGTTTTATAATCCTTTAAGCTAGAATAGTGGGCTGTTTCATTCAAAGGATTCAGGAAAGAAATTTCTGTTCCTTTTTAAGAGGGTACTTAAAATCAAAATGATGCATTAAGTTGCGAGATTCAAAGTAAAGGATATCTCTAAGGTCAGTGTACTGATTTCTGTTACGTTGAATGATAAAACTGTGCTGGCATCACATGTCACTTGCTTCTTGGATGTTAGCTAAATCATTTTGTTAAGCAATGAAAAAGGCTAGAAATTGGGGCGGGGAGGGCGATTATTATAGTGGGTGACAAACCTCTGCTGTTTAAAATCAGGACTTTAATCAAGCCCCTCGCACACGTGACTCTATGAATAATAAGCGATCATTGTTCAATGCAAAACCTTCCTGGGAACTGCTGAGCTCTCTCACCTCTTTTGCTAAACAAAACATCTAGCCAGGCCAAGATAAAGACAAGTTATAAAGCAGCTGGTTAACAAAGTTATTTTAACGGATGACTTTGCCCCAAGTTATTTGCCATCTAACTAAAAAAAAAATCTGTATTTTATTCTTTGTTTACAGTCTGTCTAGCATGAATGTAAACACTTGCTTCAGGAGAAAGTCCTGGTGGTCTATTTTGTTATCAGTATATACTGCATATAACTCATTGACACTAAAGAGAGAAAGATGCATTTAGTAGAGGGAGAAGAGACCCATCAGATTTAGAACTTGGAGGAAGACATTTAGCTTCTTTTCAAACTGCTCCCTGTCTTAAGCATGTATTTTGTTTATTAAGGCCTAAAGTTAGATATATAACATGGGATTTTCTAAGGGGGTTAGGTGCCTAAATGCCCTTTGTGCCTATGAAAATCTCACTGTTAAATCCATATTTAAGCAACTAAGACTTCGTTTCATCAAATCACTTAAGCATGTGCTTAAGCTACATACATACTTAAGTGCTTTACTAGAACAGGTCTGATTATCAAATGTGCTGAGTACCCCTCTCTTCCTGTTGAACTCAGTTTCCCCATTTCTAATGAATTCCATGTAGCTTTAGCAATGCTCCTTTTGAGATTTTTTTTTTTTTTGAGCTGTACAGTAGGTTTGCAACACATTACAATTGACTGGAAAGAGGTAAAAAAAAAAAAGTATTAGTAATAAACAAAAAAGTCATCCCCATCTGTTTTAACTGACAATTTGTGCAAAACTTTTTAAGTTTCATACATGCCATTGCAAATCCACCTTCATTTACAGTGTAATTTTGCTTTCTGTCATTTTTTCCCCCCTGCCTTTGATGCTTGGTTATTTATTTCTTTGCTTTCTGTAACTTCATTTTGCTGGATTTTCCATCATCTTTGCTTCTTCATCTGGCTTTCTGCTTCTTGGAATGACTGAAGATCGCATCAGGAGTATTAGTGCACCAATATTAGGTACTGTATCCAATCAAGATGCAATTGTAACCTACTGTGAATTTTCCTACTTGCTTTCTTTTCTGTTTCTTTCCTTTAAAAATGCTCCTTGCAGGTGTGTGTTGGGAGTCCTAATTAAATTAGGCGAGTATAATCCTGAAACAAAAGAAAGTATTAGGTCTGGCCTGCACTGGGAACTTATTTCGGCAGAGCAACATCATTCAGGGGTGTGACAAATTCACTCCTGAGACATAGCTATGCCAACCTAACCCCCGGTATAGACAGCACTAGGTCATTGGCAGAATTCTTCCTTTGACTGTCTCTTGGGGAGGTGGGTTAACTACAGCGACAGGAGAACCCCTCCCATCGATGTAGGCAGTGTTAGCAGCGAAGTGTTATAGTGCTGCAGCTGTGCACTGTAGCGTTTTAAGTATAGACATACCTTTAGTGTGGGATTTTCAGAAGCACACAACAATGGACTTACTCTGCTTCCACTGAAATCTGGTAAAACTCCCATTAACTTGGAGGGGAGGAGAGAGGCCAATGATAAGAGCTTTAGAAAAATCCTATTCTTATTAAATCAAAGTCTCTTAAGAAATTAGTGTTAAGATACTAAATATTAATTATAAACCGATAAATATCACCAATACAATTGATTTTATGTAAACTTGCCCTTTATGCAAAAAACTTAATCACCTTCTATTATTATTTATTATTTGTGTTGAGATTGTGCCTACAAGCCCCAATCTTATAGAATCGTAGCAATGTAGGACTGGAAGGGCCCTTGAGAGGTCATCAAGTCAAGCCCCCTGTGCTGTGGCAGGACCAAGTATCCCTAAACCATCCGTGATAAGTGTTTCTCTGACCTGTTTTTAAAAACCTCCAATGATGAGGATTCCACAATCTCCCTTGGAAGCTTGTTCCAGACCTTAGGCACCCTTATAATCAGAAAGTTTTTCCTAATATCTCATTTAAGCCTCCCTTGCTGCAAATTAAACCCTTATTTCTTGTCCTAGCTTCAGTGGACATGGAGAACAATTGATCACCATCCTCTTTATAACAGCCCTTAACATATTTGAAGACTATCAGGTCCCTCCTCAGTCCTCTTTTCTCAAGACTAAACATGCCCAGTTTTTAACCTTTCCTTAAGTTTTCTAAATCTTTTATCATGTTTGTTGTTTCTTCTGGACTCTCTCACATTTGTCTACATCTTTCTTAAAATGTGATGCCCAGAATTGGACACCGTAGTCCAGCTAAGGCCTTACCAGTACCAAGTAGAGTGGAACAGTTGCCTCCCATGTCTTACATATGACACTCCTGTGACTATACTCCAGAATATTATCATTTTTCTGCAGCTTCATCACATTGTTGGCTCATATTCAATTTGTGATCAACTATAAATCCCTCCAATATTATCACCAACCTAATTATTCCCCTTGCATTTGATTTTTCCTTCTTAAGTGAAGTACTTTGCACTTGTCTTTATTGAATTTCATCTTGTTGAATTCAGACCAATTGTCCAATTTGTCACTGTTCTCTTAAGAAATTAGTGTTAAGATACTAAATATTAATTATAAACTGATAAACATCACCAATACAATTGCTTTTATGTAAACCTGTTTTGAATTCTGAATGTCTTTCCAAGTGTTTGTAATCCCTCCCAATGTGGTGTCATCTGTAAATTTGATCAGCATACGCACTATTATCCATTCTAGTCATTAATGAAAATATTAAATAGTACAGGACCCAGGACTGACCTCTGCAAGACACCACTAGATACACTCTCCCATTTGACAGCAAACCACTGATAACTATTCTTTGAGCAGGACCCCATTGTGCTAGGTGCTGTACAACACAGTAAAAAAGGACAGTCCCCTGCTCCAAGGAACTTACAGTCTGATTGTTTTCCTGGGCCGAAACTCCCATTGAAGCCAATGTGGTTTCTCCTTGCATACTATAGGGAGACTGGAATCTAGTACTCAAGATCTACTATGTAAATCTGAGAGAATTGTGACCTTAGTTCAGAAAGACTGTGTAGTGCAAGTTGAATGTCTTACCCAAGTGATTTGAGACATCCCTGGATCTATGTGGGACCTTTTTCCATGGAAGCACCCCCTCCAGTAGGGATTGGAACCAATATTTAACCAAGTTGCTCAGTCACCCTGATATCTAGGAAGGATGTAGGGAAGAATAAAAGGCCTGGTCCACACTAACCCCCCACTTCGAACTAAGGTATGCAAATTCAGCTACGTTATTAACGTAGTTGAATTCGAAGTACCTTAGTTCGAACTTACCGCAGGTGTAGACGCGGCAGGCAGGCTCCCCCGTCGATGCCGCGTACTTCTCTCGCCGAGCTGGAGTACCGGCGTCGACGGCGAGCACTTCCGGGATCGATCCCAGAAGATCGATTGCTTACCGCCGGACCCGGAGGTAAGTGTAGACCTACCCAAAGGAACAATTGTAACAAACCTGAGCCCGGTTTCCATTTCTTTCTTATGGTATTTCTAAGACGGAGGGCCAGGAAAATAAAATAACTCTAGAATTAGACAAGTGTAGTAGAAGGTGAGTTTCCGTACAATACTGTTCCTCATGATTTCACAAATTTGTGAAGATTCTATCCCACTAGAGAGAAGCTGCAGAGTACTTTTCTTTAGTTTCTTATGGCACTTCTTGACCAATCAGGACTTCACAGTTGTCATACTGGCCCAAATTTTTGGCAAGCATAACTCCATTATTTGGCCCTGTATCCATAAACTGGGATCACCTCAGACGTCATGATTGTAAGAAGAGGGAATTAGAAGTTGTTATAACACACACTTGGCCAGCTCTGATAATCCATCCACCAGAGGGCAGTGCTACCAATGCGGACAAACTATTTTGTTAGCTACAGACAGGATATAAAAGGCATTCCCCAGACCAGCTGCTGCTGTTCATTAATGAGACTGACTGTGCTAAAGCAACACAGAGCCACTGTGACAGGTCTGTTGGGCCCCTCACTCCCTTCCCTAAGTCTCTAAACAGCTGACCCAGCCATCCCCCCACATGGTGACAGCCATGCATTATTCTAAATGCTATTTACTGTATGACTGATGTCATTACTATTTAAGGAACTTTCTAAATCAGTGGTAACACTGTGACACAAGTTCAGTTCTTCCCACAGACAAGGGCTAAATTCTGCTCCACTGAAGTTAATGGGAACGCACTGGTGTACTTGAGAGCAGAATTTGACCTTTTTCAAAGTAGGATTCCTTGAACGAGTTGTAATAAATGGTATCAATCCAAATGATTTTCAGAGATGAAGCTGAGTGGGGATACATGTTTTTGCTCAGTGATTCACAGACTTCACACTTGTTCTAAATTGTCTGACTGATGTGTATTGTGACTTTCTGCATAGTGGAATTTGTTAGTGAATGAATTCATTTTTAAAGCCGTTATGGCTTAATTTCTGTGAAGCATTGCCTTCCAGATAGTTTCTGAATTAATATCTTGTACGTTGTGAACAAGTAGCTTAAAAAATAACCTGTCTACTGTTTCTAATCTCAGGAGAGACAGAGAATATGGATGGTACAATAACTTCAGATGAACTTTCACCCCTTTCTTCTGGAACAGAATCGGGTCCACAGTCTCCAGAAAATAAAAAGAGCCCAAAAGGCATCAGGAAAATCTGGGGAAAGTAAGACCTTCTCATTCTTTATCCATGTCCTGTCAAAATGTTTCAGATGAGAACATTTTCAGTTTACAGCATGTTCTAGAAGACCTAGAAGATCTGTACGTGTACTAAAACAAAATGTCAAATGCAATAAGGAAAACCAGCAACTCTGCAGTGTCCATATGGGCAGGTATATGTGTACACATCAGATTGAGAGAAAATGGATTCCAGTACTAATAAAGGAGCAGACATGCTATAGGAAGAAATTCAATACAAAGGAGAAGTCCTCTGATTTCTTAATGTAATACATTAGTTGGAAGCCAAAAACTTTAATTACCATTTTTTTTCACTAGCCTTCCATTTCTGAAGGCATAAGTTGCAAATGCAGGTTTAGTCTTACCCTGTCCCGTCAGACACTTGCCTATTTCAGGTCACCAGTCATTTGACAGTCTGAGTCCCAGCGTTTGGACTGGAGTGCAGTGTTACTTGCAGAGCACATTGCTTTCCACAAGATTTGGTCTAGCTGCCTTATCTAACCATCTATGTAACTTTCATAGTTTGCTCAAGAAAAGATTATTAAATGGTCCCAGAAAAAAAACGTAATAGCCAGATCTTAAAGTTTCCTTGGAATTTACAAAAGCTGAAATTATCAGTGAGTTCCATATCTTCTCTCTAGCTTTAGTATAAATGTTTTGGGATTACTGGAGGGCTAATTTACATTTTATGAATGAAATGGAAATGCTGTATGTCATGCTCTAATACTTGGTGTTCTGCTCTCTGTAAAGAATAAGAAGAACTCAGTCAGGTAATTTCCATGCAGACGATCTAGGTTTAGCTGAATTTCGAAGAGGTGGTCTCCGTGCAACAGCTGGACCTCGATTATCTAGATCAAAGGAAACTAAGGGGCAGAAGAGGTAATCACTCTCTCTTACTTTCAGTGCATGAAAGGTAGTATTGTGAACAGAGCATATCTCCTGTGGTGAAGTATTGCCCATCATACTTCACTACAAATGAATCTCACTGTAACTAGAAAGGGTTTTTCTGGCTGAGCCTGTCTGCACTGTTGCAGTTACAGGCGGTAATGACAGCCGCTGGTTGGAAAGTCGGAGAAGCCATAATTGCTCTTGTAACAAAGAGCAAGTGTAGCAAGACGTCCTCCTCTTCATTCCCTGCTTTGGGAATAGCTGTAGGCTGACTGGGAGTGAAGGATTTCACCTTAACTCTGTCCACATGGATGATGGAAACTTCTCTCCTTTCTCCGCTCTCCTCTGAGTTTTTGAAGAGTAGGTTGAGCTGAATCTATGTAAGAACATTCAAATTAACATACTATATATTGCAATGTCTATTTATTTACCATATTATGTTCTGCAAGACTAGATGTCAATTCTTTTTACTGCAATCCAGAGAACAGAGAGTACATCAGTAGGTATTAGTAATTACCCACAGGGCAGAGACCCTGATAGAAATGCACCTTTTAGCTGTTCTACAAACAAGATTTAAACCATGTATAAGCAATTGGTCCATGAATTGAGTTAATTTGTTTATAATCTTTTAAACATTTCTCAGTGTTGTCAGATGAAGTTAATGAACCTTGCAGGATCAGGCCCTAAGTTACTACCTGGTATGGGGTTGTTTTTTTTAACAGAAGTTAGAAAAATATATTTAAAAGTGACTTTAGTTAAAGTAAAACTATTGTTAAAGCATCACTAACCTCTCCATACCAGGTTAGAAGGGTTTTCTAAAGTGTCAGTTAATTCTCTTTAGTGTGATCCTCATACAGTACTTGTGCTTTTCAGTGACTACAATGCCCCCTTTGCTCAGTGGAGCACTGAAAGAGTTTGTAACTGGCTTGAGGACTTTGGTCTTGGTCAGTACGTCATTTTTGCACGGCAGTGGGTGACTTCTGGCCACACGTTATTAACAGCAACACCTCAGGACATGGAAAAGGTAAGAAATCTGGAATTATTGCTGTCTATTAGGTAGGTGTAAATGGCTGGTCCTTCATTGTATCAGTCCATTCGTCACCTTTAGATCCAAGCATCAAAATATAGCAGCTAATTCAAAAAGGTGCATATAGCAAAAACTAAAATCAGTCTCTCTCACATGAATGAGTTCTGAGATAATAGGCACCACACCACATAAGGACAAGCTATTTATTATAATTATTTTTTTTATTACAGGAACTAGGAATAAAACATCCTCTGCACAGGAAGAAATTAGTCTTGGCCGTTAAATCAATAAATACAAAACAGGATGATAAGTCTGCACAACTAGATCATATCTGGGTGACACGTAAGTGCTTGTTGAACTGCGGGACCAGAGGCTGGGGTTTTTTTAACCTCAACTGAGAAGTAATTAAAATGTTTCAAGTATTTCTTGTACACAGTGCATGAGAGTTTCTCATAGAAATGTATGTTAAAGTCTGCTGATTATAAGATTGATTGATTGTCTAATTGTACTGTACCATAATGGCAGTTGGAAGATTTCATTGGAAGAATATTTTAGAGATTTATATTTTAAAATTTTGGCTTTCTTGAATGCCAGTTCTAATGAATATGCCTTATTTTTTAACAGCTTGCTTGCTTTTTGATTTCTGTGGAAATCATAACTGAATTTAGGACTCAGAAAAAGGCAACTGGAATTCAGCTTAAAATACCTCAGACCAGGAATCAAGCAACTCCTCCAATGTAACCGCCTTGAGGGGGACTGAGTGGGAGTAACTAGATTTTTTATTCCTAGTATGGGAGTCGCTAAATGCTCCTGTAGAAGTCACATGCTCAGTCATATATTCTGTCCTCTAAAGCATTTCGGGAATGTCATTTGTGGGTTTTGGTGGGAGTTGCCTGCCGTTCTCAGACAAAGGGAGGGCCATTTTGGGTAGAAGGCCTTGAAAGGGCAGTGAAAAAGAGAATAGGTGGCACATGAGTTTCTAAAGAGAGTCAGAGGACCCTGAGTATGAGTGAAGGTGCAGAGGATGTGGAATTTCATCTTAAGGGATTGTTTCTTCATCTGAAAAGACTTCCTAAATCTGGATTTGTTTTCTCCACTATTTTTATATTTTCAGGATGGCTTGATGATATTGGCTTACCTCAGTACAAAGATCAGTTTCATGAATCCAGAGTTGATGGGAGAATGTTGCAGTACTTAACTGTGGTAAGATGGCTTACCATAAAACCACTTTCCCTCCATTCAGATTGACTCTGAACCTAGGGTTACCATATCTAGCAAATAAAAAAAGAGGACCCTCCATGGGCCCTGGCCCCGCCCATTTCCCCACCCCCACCCCAACTCCGCCCCTTCCCCGCCCTAACTCCGCCCTAACTCCCCCTCCTCCCTCCCAGCCACGCGAAAAGGGCTGCCCAAGTGCTACCGGCTTCACGGTTTGCTGGGCAGCCCCC